TGAGACAACCAGGAGGAGCATTTCTCAGGTTCAGCCCAAAGAACTGCACGCTCTACGCATCGTCAATTCCAGGAAGTGTAAGTAATGCAATGGTTAGGGTGAGCCATGTCATGCTTAACGCTTGTGGCCCTTTCGTTTGATGTTTGCACAGTGGCGATACACTGCCTTTCGTCCTCGGCGTTGTGTAAATTCCGATTACTAAGGCTGTGGTCTTCCTCTTACAGCCACTTCTTGTCTGTATGTGCCTGGTCGCTGCCTGTCGCTTAGCTGTTCGTCTGACTTACAGGGTTGTCCAGTTTTGTCTGGTGGACCACCTTGATACGAACTCATAGGAGCCGGCAGATGGCTCCTATAATGCATTGATGAAAAGCGCGTCCTCGCGACTCACCAGTGAGGGAGATGTCTTGGGTCTCCAATTGAACCGAATGCACAAGAACACGCGCTGAGGTGTTCACTGGCACGTGTGATCGTTGAGGGACAAGAACTACTGAGTGCCATGCTGAATTCGTCGCCCCTGTTTCACCATGTTTCACCTTCTTCACTCTGCCGACATGGCTCAATGAGTTGCGTAGCAGGTTGCCCCCTCTCTGGTGTTGGTGGTTTTTGTTTTTGGGTTTTGTTTTGTGGGGCTTTTTGTTTGGTTGCCTGTTGCCTCTCTGATGGATTGCAACCTGGATAGCAACTCTTTCTCAACTCGACTAAGGTGACTTGTGCAGAACCTGCACACACAGCGCCTCGACTCGTGCAAAAAAATCTGCACGCTTCAGTAATTTGCAATTGTCACAGGCATGCGCACCTAGCACTTGCAAGTCTCGAGTCAGCTCCAGTGCAGTGATTCCAATGGAGCTCAGGCATCCTAGTGGCAGTTCCTTGGCCGCAGTCTGAGTCCGTGCTCCCGTTGAGGGTCATCCTCCTGAAGGACAAAGGTGGCTAATGCAGTCTCGAAAGAGATAATGACCAAATAATTTGGTTGCACTTTCGAACTGATTAGTCCCTCCCTTTGGCATGGACAGACTGCAGGGAGCAACAATCTGCAAATGCCCACCCAAACTCCACACAGCTAGGGCTGCAACACATTGAGCAGTTGGCATCCTCGGAAGGTATTGTCCCCAATTTTCACCACTGAACTGGGCATCTTGACCACGCGAAGATGTTGGCAACACTGCCATCATGCCTCCGCTTCAATTGCCTTAATCCCTGCTTCGATCATAGCTGGGGGTAGGCGCGTCTTCATCTTGAAACCCGAAAAGTGCCCACACCATGTTTTTGAGTTCAAGATGCCAGACCCATGGCCTAAGGCCATGAGCGATTCCCCATTTGCCTTGAGGAAAAGAACGTGTTCTTGAAAGTTGTTGAGAGACCAAACGACAGTGTGACACCAATTGGTTTCCCAACGCTGCCTTGAATGATGCAGGCACTCACAAGTTTGTTGAGGGACAAGATATACTGAGAGCATTGCTGAATTCATTGCCCCTGTCTCACCCTTTCTCACTATGCCTGCAAGGCCTCACGAGTTGCACAACAGGTTGCTTCCTGTTTTTAGTGTTTGTTTGGGTTTTGGTGTGTTGTGTTTGGGGTCTTGTTCCTCTGTTGGAATGCAACCTGTATAGCTACTCCTTCTAAACTCGATCAAGGTGACTTGTGCAGAACCTGCACACATAGCGCCTCGACTCGTGCAAAAAAAAGAAGTGTGACACCAATTGGTTTCCTTTTCTTCAAACCCTTTGAACTGCCAGGACACCACGGTTCTCGGTTCTGTCACATCATGGATGAAAAACAACTTTTTGTGCTTGTTTATGCATTGAGCGGAGCAATGCCACTCGATAGTTTTGCAACAAATGTTTTTGCGTCGGAATTTGCAGAGGCTGATTTCGAAAAACACTGTGAACCGATTGTTTTGTACAAGCAGTGGCCATGAAAAAATCACTCCGTTATTGCCAGTGTCCCTCAGACAAACCAGCCAGATAACGTCCAGTAAACTGAATGCTGCCTGTGTTTTCATGTTTTTATGCTTTACAGATCATCCGAGGTGTATACAGGAATTCATGCACAGGTTTCTGTTTTTTTTGTATTCTTTTTGCGTTGCACCGGCAGTTCCTTCAATTGGTGTGTGATGTGGACACAACCATCATGATGCGGTGCAAGCAACATGTCAGCCGCAAATTGACTGCAAACAGACACGGCACTGAAAAGAAAAGTTGCTGACACACGTCGCCAAAATGCGGAAAGTCGATTCTACACAATTGCTTGGACTATGTGGCCATTCTGCTGCAAAAAATATAGCAGCCTTGACGATTGGTTGACCCATGTGAATCAGAGAATTGGATCCTTTCAAGAACATGCTCTTTTGATTCAATGTTATGTTCAAACTGCAAGACCCCAAACCAAAAAGGCATGTTTGAATGGCAGTGGAAGATCCGTACGTGCCCAAATTCAGCGGACCGCACTGGATGTTGCCGCGATGGACGTCGCCCAGATACGAAGCATCTCATTGGAGTTGCAGGCGAAGGACTTGAAGCGACAACAGAAGGCCAGTTGCGGGGTTTAACAGTTAGCACCTGTGGTAGCGGGTTAAGATCGTCAAAACCAGGGTTGGCAATTCTCCCTACTTAGGCCTTGAAGAGTTTGCAAGGGCTTGTGAGCAAAGGCAATAACATCAGTTCTGTGTTCCTTGGCCTGCAAAGTTATAGCAACGTCGGGACCAAACATGACTCTTGGCAGTTTCAAGTTGTTTTTCCTTGACTTCAGACTTGCAGTCTTCCTTTGGGCAGTGCAGCCAAGTATGAAGGCATTTCATTGCCACACACACACTCACACACACCATTGCTTTAACCATGCCACCAGCACCGGTGGCTTCGTGACTCACCGGGCGAACTGGACTCGCCGTGGATCACCCCCAAGGCTTCCGCTGGTGCTGGAGTTGTTAGACGAGAAGTCCCTGCGCTCGGACGCCGCGGCGGTGCTGAGCGCGGTGGTGGCGCTGCCCGCCACGCGCGAGCAGTGCAGCGACTGGGACGAAGTGGGGGGGGTTTTAGTTGGTGAGGTAGGTCGACCGAAGCTTAATTCCAATCAGTTTGTTGAAGCAGGTGACCATAGACAGGGTGAGCTGGTGGTGAAGGTTTTGAGCAAAAGGACAGGTTTTGAGACCACAAAGGCTTCCAAACTCAGTTGAATTAGATAACTATATTTTTGTGTTTTGTTCTTCGGCCAAGACGCAGATCTTTCCAAGACTGACCCAAAGTCTGAGGTAGTTTTTCCAGCCTCATCAGCGGCCTTTTTCAAGCCTTGGGAAAGTCCGATGCCCGTGTTGTCATGGCAACTTGGAAAGATCAGGTGACCGCAATGACTGAGGATGGAATCAGATCTGACATTTGAAGACTCTTCGGCAATGTTACAATCTCGGGGTTTCGTTTCAGATAGATATAGTTATTGAAGGAACTTCAGGTTTGCAAATTAGACGGCATGTCAGGCCAAACCTACAAGGTTCCATTTTCACAATGATTTTGCTTCCATTTTCACTGTGCGTTCTCCACGAATGTGTCTCGCTTGCTGCACACGTGGAGCCTTTTCCAGTCCAGAGAGCCAGGTGATTTTGTCTTCATTGGAGCAGCTGCTTCCAGAGGATGGTGTCGACACTGCTCGAAGCCATGTCGAAAGACTTGGAATCAGTACAGAACATGGAGGTCATGCAGTTTTTGCATTCAGTGTACTGTAGTATTTTTGAGTTGTAGTTCTTCAATGCAATCGCCCCCTTGGTGGCCTGAAGAGCCAACCTATCCAATATTATATATCTAGCGTAAAGTCACGCTTGTGCTTGAGCACTTTCTTAACGGATCCTATCTGCTTGCGCATACGTGTCCACTCCGGTACACTGGTATGATCCTTCACGGTGATCTCCGCTTGGCGAGGACATTGTAAAGCTCTTGGGTGTCTTCGACCCAGAGACATTGATGAGGCAAAGGACATGTGTTTCGATACAATTTGCGAGACGTCAATGTGCCATAAAACTGCATTGTATATAGTCGAAGTAAACACCCAAATCATCCCAAATCAGCATTTCTAGCAGTGACCTTTGAAACTGACATGAATCCACAGAACAAACTAGCAGCTGCTTTCAACTGCAAAGTAAGTCTGTCCTAAATAGGTGCAAGAAATGGGTTTCCTCCCACATTCATGTGGGAAACATCGGAGACACGCCACGGAGCTGTTGGTCGTCACCAGCTTCACCCAGGCGAGCTTTAGCACAACCGGCAGCCACGCGGCCGTTGGTCTTCAAGACCTTCGGAGGTCTTTTGGTGAAGTGCTGGCCTTGCGTCACAGCTCCTGGGATGGAAGTGATGTTCTGCTCGTTCCTGGTGAGGCAGCTCCTGAGGACTCCCCAAAGAATTTTGTTTTACTTAGGAAGCACAACAAGGGCTCCGAAGTTATGAAATGAGTACACAAGCGCCTCGATGGACGTCTTTTGATTGGTAGAGCTCAAAGGACTGGACGCTGGACGCTGGACGTTGGGGGGGATGTTGGAGCTCTGCTTGTAGCGTGCGACTTTGGCTGGTGAATCTGTGCAGTTCCAATGGGTAAGGCTGGCTACGACCATGATCTTCCAAGCACATGCCTGGATCTGAGTTGAAAGGGTTTTTCGGGACTGGAAGCCGCAGTGCTCGCAACTTGCCTGCCACCTTGGTAGTGATGAAGTCCTTTGAATAGCTTGCCCTGCGAGTGAGTACTGTCTCAAAAGACCTTCCAAGAATGTCAGAAACTGAACCATGATATTGTTTTTGACAGTTTCTTTATGTAATGAGATCAAGTTGAAAAAACACCGAAAAAGTTCTTCAGCAGAACTTCAGCATGGAAGGTCACCCAGTATCGAGGCGTGGAAGCATTGAGGATGGCTTTTGCACTGCTGGCATCCGACGAGTCAGATGAGTTAGTCTTGGCATCTTGGCAGGTTGGGTAGAACTTTTCCTCCAAAGAGAAAACCGATAACTAGTAACTAGGACTAGGAAGTCGCCCGAAAAGAACTGCTTTCATCATGATTGTTCAATCAAAATGACTTTCGTGAGCTGCATAATTTGGCTGGTCACATGAAGTGAGGGGGTAGGAGCGCCAGCTTTTTTGTACGTGGCCTTGACCCTTTCTTTCTGTGGGAAGTTAGAACCAAGGCCTCCGCTGCGGTGCTAGATGAGTTGATGCTGGCTTACTTGAACGTGTCAGTGGCACCCATGGCTATGGTAGCCTTCTTTCATCCTGCGCCTTTGTTTGCAAGAGCAACGGGATGTAGAAGGGGCACCTGTAGTTCTTTTCGCGAACTCATCTTCCTTTTCTTGTCCACTATGATGAGTAGATTCTAGGGTTGGTGCCAAGTTGCCCCTTCAGAGGCTTCGTGTGGACTTCCCTAGATGAAGAGATTCCGCCAAAGAGACCGCGATTCTGCGCGCTCTCGGACCTGGGACCAGTCCGCCATGTGCAGCAGCTTCAAGGCTCCTCGGAGTCTTCGGAGCCTTGAGGCCTGGGAGTTTCGGTCCATCTATGGGACGTTGTTGATGGAGGTCCTTCGAGATCTGCGGATGGCATTGCCACAGCTGATTGCTTTGAAGGATCCTGAAACTTGGATGAAGTGAGTTCAGTGCACTTGGACGATCAGGAAAGGTTTCTAGATACCACCTTGAGAGACCCACTCCTTGTACAGAAAAGACGGTCATGCTCAATGCTCCGGTGCCACGCATGTTTCCGAAGTACTTGGCACTTGTATTGAAGATCCGGAGACTGTAGCCATTCTCCACTGCTCTGGATGGATGGATCGTTCGATCGATGCCAAGGACTGCATTTGGCTGCCCAACCGGGATCAGGCCATAGAGCTGAACAAAGCTGCGGGTTTGCCTCCTCGGCAAGGTGTTGAGAGCATCACTGAAGCTTGAACAAATTACAAAGCTCAAGCTGAGAAGCTTTCAACCCAAGGTTTCAAAGGGAGCATCCAAAGACTTGATACTGAAACACTCATCGTAGTTGAGTCACGGATCTTCCTGACAACACATTGACAACACATGATAACAGTGCCTGCAAATAGGCGCCATCCTGTCCACTCCTTAAACAAAGCCAGCGGGCCAAGAAGACCTTCTGAGGACCAGGAGGCTCTAGCCGTAGAGGCTGGATGCTTTCGTGCCTCTTTGCTCTGGTTCTTGGCCTTTGGGGGTGGTCTTGCACGCAATCAGGACGGAGGCCTGCAGTGGTGTGTGCAGGACCAGGGCAGGAGTCTGCTGACCTCCAAGGTTGTATATAAGCTTTAAGCCTTACTTTTTGGGTTCCCTAGATCAGGGGTGGCCAGGCTGCACTTGGCTATTTTGCGGAGAGTGTGGGTTGGTGTGGGGTATTCAAAGAAAAAGACCTTGAAACATAACTGCCAGAAAAGGAGATTGTGCTGTTGCAGTGGAAGAGCTTGGATCAGAGTGGAAACGTCTACTGATTTGAAGGTTAGATCGAACAACATCCTGTTGCAATAGCTTTTTGATAAGGGACTACTCGCCCACCTGACCACCTGATACAACCCAAAGCAACCCAGTAGAATTTGTGACGCAATCAAGATCGAACCATTTACCATGCACGGACCTTTCAACCCAAAGTCAAAAAAAAGACTATACTAGCTTCTTGTTACTACTAGTAAGGCACCTGTTACTAGTAGCGATGCACTTGTTACTAGTAGCGAACAAAAGACTACCCTCAAGATGACGAAAGCTTGATGCTGCCAGGCAAATGTGGAAAATGACATATCACTCACGTCATTGTCAAGCACCCCCGAAGCCCGAAGCTCTGCCACAGGTGGCTCCTCCCTGCTGGGCTCGTCCGTCCAACTCCTGTAACATGTGTTTCGACCACCTTCGAATCATTCCAAAACCCATTCAGCTTGATTCTACTAGCCAGTTGCTTGCCAGTTGCTCCGCCTCCATGCCCTACTCAGCTGTGTTTGTGGCCAGGCCACGACTCCACGCTGCTGGTGGACCTGGGCCGTGCGACGCGCGGAGGCGCCGCGCGCGAGCTGCGCTGGGGCGATCTGCCGCCGCCGCCAGCGACTCGTCGCGGTCCGGTCCCGTGGGGACCCGAGGCGGTGAAGCCGTGAAGTGCCGGTTGAAGGGTTTTTTCGGATGGTTGACTTGGTGGGATGAGAAGGCCCATGTCGAATGGCTGATTTGGTGTTGGAATGAGCCCGTCCTTTTTTCTGTCGTTTAGTGCCGTTCCGCTTTTCCGATGTTTGCGAACTCTGTTGGACTCGTGCTCCTTTTTGGGTGTCCGGTTTTGGACCACCCTCCGACTCACTAACATGGAAGTTGATGGGCCTTTGGGAGATGACTTTTCCTTGGGCGTGCAGCACCTTCCATGCCCCTCAGGCAGAACTCGTCGCGAAGTTAGCCGAGTGCAGCGCATTCCGGGGGAAGTGGGGCGCCCTCTTCGCGAGTGCGCGGGCGCAACTGGTGCAGATGATGATGCGCTTTTGTCACAGTGCCCAAGACAGAAATAGCGCAAAATCGGAAAACAACGGGCCTCTCTAACAAGGCCTCCTCTAAAGAGGCCTTACTAAAGAAGCCGTGTATTTTCTTGCTTTTGTTGTATTTTTCAGAAAGTATGACTAAGTATGACTTTGATTCTTCTTGATTCTTGATCCTTTCATGAAAGTTTGGACATGACATGAGAGTCTACTTGTGGTCTGCAGGTGCTGATATGATGCAATGCCGCGACCTGGTTTTGACCACGGCTGAGAATCTCTTGCAGCTGGGGAATGTCGCATGGATTTGATGAGTGTTCTTTTGACATGGATTTCCTGGATTCCTTGGTCTTTTGATTGCTGAGCCGACCCTCCTTTTTGGTCAAAAAGACATGTGCTTTTGTAAGAACCAAGAAGTCGCCATCCGAGGACGTTTTTCAGCAAAGCTACTTGCGTTTCTTCCTCTCTGAATGTCTTTCCAGCGCCATCAGTCTCTGGCATGTCATGGGAAAGCAACTGAAAGAAGGCAGGGCTGTGTATTGCAGATGTAAGGGGGCACAGTGGAAGGTGTAATTAGTATGGACGCCTCTCCCAGCCGTTTTGTCAGAAAGAACAACATTGAATTGCTACGGGTCCTTCCTTTCACCTTCTCCGGACCGCACCTCCCTGCTTGTATCTCTGCTCAAGTCCTTTGCACAATGTCGCGTAAATGGTAATGGACTTGAGCGACAAAAAGGCCTATCAACAGCCAAGTCTCACTTCCATCCCATCCCCAGGTGCTGCTTTAAACTCGCGGGCCTGCTCCATTTGCGCAGACGCTTTGGTCATGGGAGCCGTCATGGCACCCAAGACCTGCGCGACTGCTCCGCATCTGCTGCGGTTGATGGTGATGGCGGCCAAAGTCTTTGTACTGCGTGCGGGAAGAGGGGACGTGGAATTGCTGCCCGCTGCTGTGCGGAAGATCGGTCAAGAGAAGATGCCGGCATTGGCTGTAGCAGCTCTGGCTCGTGCCTGCTGGATGGTGAAAGATCTAGTGGAGTTGAAGGCGCTAGTTGAGGGAATCGTGCAACAGCACCTGTTAGGCCTGCTGCTGGAGACGGCGGACGATAGTCCAATAGCACAGGCTTCCGCTTGGTTGTTGATTTCCGTTGCACAAGTGACGGGCTGCCAGAACGCCTTGGTCGATGTTTTCAATCGCGGAGAGTTGCTGGGCAAGTCGCCCGCGATCCTCCTTGCTGCAGCTTCCTTGGATACTCTGGGGAGCTTGACTCAGAGTTCTCGTTCCAATATGGCAGAAGTGCTGAGGCAAACTGATCTGCCAGGTGCAGAGTGGACAGCCTATCGGGAAACATTGGCCAAGGCACTGACGCAAGGACAATCACAAGGAGTCTTTACAACACCCCTAGCCTCTTCGGGAGCATCCGCTGCCTCTTGGCTTGACTGTGAGTCCTTAGCATTCCAGGAAATATTACATGTTGAGTTCCATCGTTATGAGTTATGAGGGTGTATCCGAGTGTGTGTCCCTCTTTCTCAAGACATTTCCTCTTCTCTGGCCTCTGCGAAGATGGAGCCGAGGCCAGCTTTGCTCGCTGGCTCCATTTGCTGAGAGACTGCGAGCAGCCCCAGCCTCAGGGTGGCGAGTCTTCGAAGAACCTTAGTCGCAGCGACACGTTTGCGAAGGTTGTTGTGCCATATTTCATTTTATATCCCTTCTCTTGGGTCGTTCGTGTGACCGCATGTCACCAGTGGTCGTGTGACTACGTGACCAAAGGATGATCCCTTTGTCGGGGCCGCCCCTCTTCGTCTATGCCCAGCCGATCCACAGCTGGGTCTCAAGTGAGTGCCATGTCACGCTGCGCATTGACCTCTTCAACGCCACGGCACTCAGAGCCTTGGACTGTGCATCGGTGCCCGAGTTGTGGTGGATAGCAACAGAGATATGGTAGATCAAGAGCGACAAGATTCTGCAGCTCAGTATGGCTTCTAGCACACAAAATCTCTGATGGAGGTGCTAATCCACTTTTCACCAAGTAGACCTGTGATGCAACGAAGTGGACATGGCTTGTGGGCTGTGAGACACCGTTCTCTGCCTCTCCCAGGTATCCGTGACGTGCAGGCAGTCCTTTCCATTAGCCGCCCCACACGAATGGGAGAACGAGGAGAGAAGATGGCACCCTGGCACTTTGCAGAAGGCTTGGTGCGTCCATTGACCAGTTCACCACTTGAAGCTTTGATGGCACTCGACTCCCTGGACCCTGTTTTTCTTGACTCCTTTCAAGGTGTACCACGCCGTTCATGCGTTAGACATGCCGAACGGATTTCAGGAATACATCCCGTGCCGAAGCAGTGCGACGATCTGGCGGGACGTCTACCTGCGCTTCCCTCCCAAGCCGATGAGCTTGTCGTTGTCCTTCAGCTACGAGAAGGTCATGCCGGAACAATGGCCGCAGTCAGACAGGCAGCCTATGCCTGTTTAGCTGTCTCCAGAAAGGTATATACATGTTGCATGCGCTTGTGAAGTAGCTACAGGTCACTGCAGGAAGCAGAGCAGATGTGATCATTAAAGATTAAAGGGTCCTCCTTCGCCCTTGAAAAGGGTAATCTTTTGATAAGGTAGGACAGGACATCCCAAAGTACAGAGTCTTCCATGGCGATTACAAAGCAGGCCCCTTTGGACATTCCGGAGGCAATGAGGAATGAACCGATGGCGACTGACGAAACAATGCTTCACGAGAAACATGACAATCTCTGCCTGGCTCGATCAGACTCTGCCGTTGTGCAAAAGTATTCCATGAGCAGCTTCACTTAGAACCATCTTCGACTGAATGCCTCGATGTATTGGAGTTGAACAGTGAATCATTAATCTAATCTAATCCATCTCTTCTTTCCCCTGTCTCCTAGATCCTCTGCTCCGACTGCCCAGGAGACCAACCTGTCGGGGCTCACGCCGGCCAGCACTCCGATGACGCGAGGCGGCGGTGAAGACTTATGGAGCGATGAGGTCGACGGGAGGGTGCAGTGGAGACCGGTGGGTGAGACCGGTAGGTGTAGAGATGTGTAGAGTGTAGGGTGTTTTTTGTAGACCACCTGAGTCTTCCGCTCAACTTTTCTAAGGGCCAACGACGTCAAGGGGAACTCGGGAGAGTTCTGTCGACATCTTGATGTCTTGACAACGAACGAGATTCAGAACGGATTCGACAGAACTCATCTCGTTGAGATCAGACTTTCGCACCCAACCTGATGCTTCTTGTTTGACCCATTGACGGTTTCTCTACTCTCTACTCTACCCGTGGTTGCGGATTGTTGACTTTTGTCTGGCACGATCCAGGAAGAGGAGGACCATCCACGGCTACATTTCACCTGCCTCCCCATCTCAGCAGCGCTCTCATGGTACTTCGAACCCTTTCTGGGCTTCGACGAGAGCAGAGCCTTTCCACCACCTTTACTCTTTGCCGCGTGTCCACACAGCAAGACTTCAGAGGCCAAGGACTGCGAGACAACAGACTGCGAGACAAGGCATGCATCTGCGTCAATCTTACAGACGGTGTGCCATGAAAGCTCAGGGATCCAGTGACATGTCCAAGGTCTTGAAGTTCGCAACTTGGAATGACACTCAAAGATTTGTTTTTTTGCCCACACTCCCAAAATCACAGCCCTGGCAGGAGTTGGGCGTGACCAGCCGGTGGACGATGAAAGGCTTTCACCAGATCTCGCCGCCCTCGACGGATCCCGGCCGAACCTGGCGCCAGGGAGATTGCAAGTGCTTCGCAGGCCAGTTCAGCTCTGAAAACTTTCCAGTTTGTACTGTGATTAGTACATTGATGCCCTCCCTGTGTTGTCGCGTCAGAAATCTTTGCCTGTCATTTGCTCATCGGCTACCATATCATAAAGCTCAGATGATTACATGAACAGCTGCGCTGCTCTCAACACATCGTGGAGCCAACACAAAACACTCTTTTTGTAAATGGCTGTGGAAATGACGTGTGTCTACACTGCTGCAGAGCGGCGAGTGGTAGTGCTAATGCAACTGCAACTGTGCATATTGTTGGGAGTGAGCAGATAGGCATCCTGCCAGTAGCAGTAGCATTCTCTTGCATTTGTTCTCATTCCCGCTTGCCGCTTGACATGCTCTGTAAATCCGAGCTGCTTTTTTTTGGGACGCAACACCTGCAGGCATAGGCTGCGATTTGCAGAGCCTCCTCTGCTTTATACTGCGAGAATCGGAATCGACGCTGGAAGTGCGGTCCAACAATGAGCCTTGACCTGGGTTGTTAATTTCCTATGCTATGTGCTTTGTTTGTGCTTCACAGATGGGATATGTTTGGATTGTTGGATGTTGATGATGTTGTGTTCCCACCAAGCTTGTCTTCCAAGCTTGGGATGAATTGATTTTGGCCTTCTCTCAGGAATGGCTTCTGCAAGCCGTCACAGCAGATTTGATGTTCTGGCTCTTGGCTGATGGATGACCTGCTTGACAATCCAAGCAAAAAGGTTGGCTTCTGCCACTGTACCTGCAACGGCCCAGTCGAACTTGCCAGCTCTTGCCTTTTTGCAAGATACCCATAGGGTTTCATCTACTCCCCCAACCCATAGGACGCGCAGATGAACTCGAGTTCACGGTACTTACCCTGTAGTCCACCACAGCATTTTTAGGAGTGTCTGCAGACATTTGCCGCAAAGTCAAGCATTGTGCAGCTTTTCTCGTTTCAGCATTGCTCTGACCCTCGTCCTACTGATTTTGTGGCTCAGTTTCACGCTAGTCATCTAGATTTTGAGCTTTTGCCAGAGGCTCAGTCTTTCAAACCCAACCGCTGGGGTTCTTTGGATTTCACAGTTCCATCCTTCAGCAACTTGAGGATGTTTTGCTGATGGATCCCCAAGAGGCACCGGCGGGACGGCACGGCACTGGCGTCCGAGATCCGTCCGACGGGAGCGGTCGAGATGCGTCGGGACCCGTCCGATGCGAGGCCCAAGATGCGAGGGTCTCGCGTTGGGGGCACCCAGAAGATTGTACTGCCAAAGCGGAATGGGAGCAGAGATAGAAAGAGAGAGAGAGAGAGGGAGAAGCAGTGTCATGTCGATATGGCAACTTGTGGGTCTTCTCATGTCTTCTCAAGACAGTGGCTGGGTGAAGTGTATTGAAATGTGGGATTCTTCATGGGTTCATTGTCTCTTTGCTCCCGGTGTTGCAAGAGATCCCGACCGCTCCTGGTTTGGCTGAGGTCAGGGCAGATATAGTGCGTGGCTGAAGAAGGTGAAGATTGGGATGAAGACGCGGACCAGCTCCACATGGAGCAGTAGCCGCTTCTGTTTTTGAAAGATGTTGAAAGCTCATGGCAAGGGTGTAGGACTCTTCCTAGAGGTGGTACAGGATGACATGGACAAAGAGATGCAAACAGTGCTAGCTGCTAGCTTTTTGAAGGCGAAGAGTGAGAATGCACGCTGCAAGCTGCTGCAAAGTCATAACACTCGGTGCGCCTGCGTGGTGTTGCCCCACTAGCCAAACAGGATTTGACAATATACTTCCCCATGCGCCCGTGTTTTGGCCATAGTTCTGGGTGTCTCAAAGCCTCACAAAAACTCAATTGGCCCCTGGGGCATTCGGAAAGGTCGGTGAAGACCGGTTTGTTCTTTTTCGTCGGGTTGGGGGGCCTGCCTTGGAGAACCCGCAATGGCCTTATAATGCTTTATACAGTCAAGTTTTCAGTCCTTGCCTGTAGGGCCGTTGTATTTTGGATCTTGCTTTGTTCATTCAGCGTGCATTCAGCGCGTAGTTGCCATTGCAGGTACTTTACCATCGACTTTGACTCGCAGATCATTTTCTATTCGCACTCAACGTCGCAGAAGAAGGTACCAACGGTGGTAAGAGCTTGTTCTGACATACAAGGTGGGTTCGATGAGGAGAACTGGCAGTCTGCTGTGTACAGTGTGGACAATGGAATGAAGATTTGTTGTCACATGTCACAGACGGACAACATCTTGCACCGCCGCAAGAAGTTTTAGGCAACCCGATTCCCCTGCAAATTTCGACCGCCCATTGGTTCTCCCTATGGGAGGATTTTGAACCATCAAACAGAGACCACTTTCCCGTTTGCCATTTGGCTTTTCTTTGACTTTTGGGCCTCTGCCGCTTGCTTCTCAGGTCTCACAGCCTATTCCTTTCAGAGACATTCTTGGTCAGAGTCCCAGGTTGGTTGTCCTTTGTGAGCTCCAGATCTGGAGAACCGAGAAGTAAAGATAAGTTCAGCACCGAGATTTTCCACTCCTCGTCCCCTTTGCCAAGCATCAAAGGAACTGGTAGTAGCAATTTGCCAAGCCAGGCAACACGCAGCCAAGTAGGGCACTGACGGGTTTGTTTGATCAACTGAATCAGGCTCACAGGCTTCAAACATATTCACCAGGTTGATCCACCATGGACAAAGATCCATAAAGATCCTCATATTGAAGAGGCGTAATTTCTCATGGATCATCTGTTGAGACATCTCATTTCTGCTTTCCGGACTCGGAAAGCAAACCTGCGGACCCCATGCGGATGTGAAGACACCCGTCACGCCGTAATGTGCCGTCCTTTCGTCCGGTCTAACCTTAGGTGCCGAACGGTGCTGACCTTAGGTGAAGACGGTGGGAGATGACGCGCCAAGGGAGCTGGGAGTTACCCAATGTTCGAAGAATAAGTAAGTAGGGGTGGGGAGTCCGGAGTTCGGAGGTTTTCTCCCATGTTGCGACATCTACATAATCTACATTTGCCGAGTGTTTGGGGAGGTCTTGCACACAACTGTGTTGGACCGTGTTGGACCGTGTCCTAAGTTGGGCCGCAGTCCTAGGGTGTCCCCAGTGTCGGTGTGCGCCTGTGGCTCAGGCTACCATTGCCTACCAAATCGAGGAAAGGCAGAAATGCCATGCCAGGGCCCTGGTAGATCTTTCTTCTGAGTTTAAAGCAGGAACTTGAGCAGTCAGGCTTAAACGCTATATGTAACTGTCATTTTTTAACTTTGAATATGCCTTTTGCAGCACCAACATCACAGCTGCACGCACTCTTCCATGGAGCGTTGACCAGAGGATTTTCGGCTTCATCCTGAAGACCAAACAGCGAACTTTCGAACTCTTCACAAACAGCAATGCCGACGCTGCTCAGCCCGACACCCCAGGGGATGGGAGCGGATAGTCGGGATTCGGCGGAACTCGGCGTTGGGTGCAGAGATCTTGTTGTGACGTCTCAAAAAAAATGTCCGGAAGACTTGGAGCATCTATGACTGATTCATGGCAAAGATTCTGTAGACTGACTGGGTGTTGTCATGTTTTTCAAAAAATTAAAAGCAGACACCAAGGTGGACCTTTTCCCTGAATGCAGCCCTGCCCTTAGATACCGATCCGCTCACCTGGGAGACTGTAAGCGGTGCCGGCAGCTTGTGGAGTGTTTCGAGTTCCTTCCGGCCTTATGCAATTGAACAGCGAGAATTGAGAGGAATTGCCTCACAGCAAGAGCAGATGTGTTTGCTCTCTGGGCAGCGCAAGAAAGGAGTCCTACTAAGCGGGTGAGTCAAATCTCTTATACCAAACGACCTGAGGCGATGGAGATGGGAAAGCAGAAAATGGAGCAATTGAAGGCATGTCTCTCTCAACACTGAACCGTGCTCACTGCTTGATATTCCAGCAAAGTCCAAGCTGCTCCGTAAATGAGCATCCTGCCAGCTTGATATTAGGAAATATTTCTTGAAACATGTGTAACCAAGTGCATGTTTTGCAAGGACAATCCCTCCGGTTTTTCTCTTTCCTTTTCTTTTGCTGTGAATGCAGGTGCTCCAAGCGCAGGCCCTTGTGGATGGGAGGGTGGTCGACGTCAGACATGGGGATACAAGACTCCATCCCCTACTCAGGCTGTTTCCACGCTAGCAAACCACCCGAAAGAGGTTGCACTTCTGCCCGACCTTTTTGGTAAAAGTTTCGTGCTCAGCCGGTACGCCTGGGGGTTGGCTGTTGGATGGTTGGATGGTGTTGAAACTTCTGGATCAGAATCCACATGGATGTTGACTTGACTCGATCTGGCTGACAGGCGGAGGTTCCGGTGCGGAATCAGGAGCCGAATGGGGCATGGGTGGGAGAAACGACTGGAAAGGAGCACGGCTGTGTTTGTTGTGAAGCATGGCTGTCTCGTGATTCTCTTGACATCTCTTGGCCGCTTTTAATTGAAAGCGTAATTAATGTAGACTGTTGATTTATTACCCCCCTACCAGAATGGTTTTGCATCTCCCTAAGAGGTGTTTGGTTGATCAACAGTCTACGTTGGGTCAGCCAGTGACAAGTATTTTTGTTGGCTCAACCAATGACTCAGGTAGACTTATGTAACAAAACCACTTCTTGCTTGAAACATTTTGTGAATTTGCTGACCTGGAAGATGCTCATACTCATACCATTTCCTGCCGGAGTTAAGGAAACGGGGCTCTTCTGAGACGGCGCCTTTGGTGCCTCTTCCGCCTCTGCTTTCAAGTGTTCAGTTGCTTTGCTAGCTGACTTTTGCACCTCCCGACATCATTCGACAGCTGAGCATTCGACGGCGGCATTGGCCGCATCGGTGCGACGCCCGACGTCCGCGCCGCATCGTGACGCCGCGCGCTGCGGTCAGGATGACACGCCCCAGAAGGCAGCGCTGCCAACGGGAACCCGGACGGCGGCAGCGTCAGAGGTGCGAAATGCCACCGACGGCCTTTGGACAGTTCTTCCAGTTCTTTGTTTGAATGGAACACCTGAAGGATAGATTTCAGTGTGAGCCCAAAGGTACTTCAATGTTCGATGTGCTGATGTTTTGGATTGAATGTTCGACTTTGCTGGACACGGTGGTAGACAAACGGTGGAAGTGATTGGAGCATCGGGGCATGGTTGCCTTGGTACAGAAAGTCGTATAGACTCTTGGCAGCCCTTGATGTACAGCAATTTGACACATCAATGGTTGTGGGGCTGTTAGGAGGAGAAGGAGACGCCACGAAGGCCAAGACAGGTGGGAGTGCGTGAGATTCCTGACAAACAATCTTTCAAAATTGAAGATAGTAGACCTTCCATACTTGTCGATTTCGATGTTGCAGAAGCCCATGCGAACCTCTGCTTCCAAGACCTGCAGTGCCAAATGACAATGAACTGATTGTGATTATGCCATACTACTTTTGACCTTGCCGAATGCTTCGTTTCATTCTGTGGTCAGTGAAACAGAGGTCCACACCACTTGCCCCTTCTTTTGGAAGAGTGCACAAATCAAGAAGTGTACTAAGTTCAAAACGCTGCCTTAACTGGCATGCACTTTGGCTCAAGAGCGAAAAGGTTCGCACTTTCATAACCACAGGTTATGAGCCCAACCGGACGCGAAGTCCACCCATGATTGTTCACGGTTGTTGGCTGCGATGGCACAACAACGCCGGCGGCGACACAGCCAGCCGGCCAAGAGAAGAGACGGCAGATCAGCGGTTGGACAGGCTGATCCGGGAGGAACGGAGATCCCAGCGAGCAGCTTCGGTGCCGGCTGGTGGGGGCTGGAAGGACTATCTGGTCGAGAACGTGACCAGGTGCGAGGAGATTCAGCGCTTGTGGTCAAGCAGGTGGGGCTTTGGCACTTGGCGGACGAACTGGATTCTTGATGGAATCGCCACAGGACCCGGCGACCTACCTGGAAACGGAAGAGGGGCAAGAGAACCCATCTTTCTTTGAGTGGCCACTGCTGCAGAGGTTGGTCGAGGAGGAGGAGCTGAAGCTCATCCAAATGGACCAAGGCGCGACAGGGTGTGTGCGAAGGAAGCCGAATTGCTCACCAACCTTCCAGGTCTTGAAGATCTTGACGGCCTTCGAGGAGGATCGGTGGAACCGGTTGAAGGGGGCATCCAGGAGCGAATGAAGTCCTCGAGGTCCTGGGCAAAGTGGTCGGATTTGGTGAGAGCGATTGGCCTGTCCCTCAACCTCAAGTTTGGGGGGAGAGCCCATTCCTGCGTGCCCAAGGTGGACGTGGAGGAGTGGAAGAGGCATATCCAGCAGGAGCATGTCCCGTACAGGCGAGATTGCATGCAGGGACTGTGTGGAGGTCATGGGTTTGTCCAGCCCTCATCGGAGGTCGCAGAATGCCGAGCAGGGGCGAGACGTTGGCTTCAACCAATGGTGCAGGTATGCGTGGTGACGACGGTGCCAGCCCGATTGTGAAGGAGCTGTTGGGTGCACCGGATGAGCCCATCGACCATGAGGCGGATGTCAATGAGGTCTTGGACTTGCCGCAGATGGATGAGGAGGTTGAGATGGCGACGGATGAGAACGTGACGATTGCGGAGCCGGCCATGCAGGTTGCGCACGGATGGTGCACACCATGACGGCCGGCGACGACAGGCACGTGAATGGCAGGGTGGAAGGAGAACTCCATCAACTGAAGAGGAGAATGAGGTTGCTCCTCCATGCTGGTCGGGTGGATCAGTCCCTGTGGCCCTGCGCTTTGAGGCACGCGGCCGAGCAATGTTGAGGTTTGGAACCAAGGTGATGGCCAAATCCAAGAGGTGGCACCACGAAAGCTCACGCACCCCTTCAAGCAGATGGTACTTTACACCCCACCCATTGATGAGCTCCGGATGGGTGGCTCGAGATCTTGAAGGACGAATTCAACACCTCTGCACTGTGGTGGTTGAGTCCGAGAAGGCTGAGCAGGCGTTGGAGATGGAAGAGGTGGATTTGAAGTCCTGGGCCATCCGGCGCCGGATCATTGGAAAGCAGACGCCAGATCCACATCCTTTGAGGGACGCGGTGGCCAAGGTTTCTGATGATGCAGGTGCTCCGTCGGGTCCAGCTCGTGTTCCACGTTGGGGGGGGACTATGGCAGCCGGGTGAGGATGTGAACGCCCTGGAAGATTCGGCAAGGCCTATGGCATCGGAGATTGCTGATTTGGACCTGGAAAGGTGAGGGGGGAGCGCATGAAGCGCTTGAAGGAGTTGAGCTGGAAGTGAGTGTGACTTCAGTGGTGGTGGAGTGGAGTTCATGGACGAGGACAGCCTACGCGGACGAGGACGAGCCGGAGTCTGAGGGTGGAGCGTTGTGGGCAGAAGAATTTTTACATCGAAGGGGTTTCTCACCCCGGGTAGTGCAAAGGTGAACTGCAGCGTGCGGAAGGCTCGCCCATCGTGGCTGGCTCAGGCTTTGATGCTCGAGTGTGCAGGGACGTGGAGCCGTGGACAGCACCGTGGCCAACGGATGAATCTCCCAAAGGCCAGGCCTGGCTGTTTTACTTCTTGCCACATTGTCGCGTTCTCTGCGAGGTGCTTGAGAGCCTGGAGGCCGGTCAGCAGCCGTGGAGTACCGGCGCGGTGACGCGCGGCCCCGTGTGTCCATCCTCCTGTGTTGAGTGGAGGTCTCAGCGAGTCTCCGCTTGCGCGGCGCATGATGCAGTGGTGCTCTTCTTGTATTGGAATGCCAACACCATCGAAGACGCAGAAGAGGCCAACCTACCTGGGCCTATCTGCGCTTCTGTCATAGTCATAATTCGCTTTTGGCATTTTCGTTCTTAGCTTTGCTACGTTGTTGGGTCCAGTGCGGCAGCATGTTTAAATCCCATTCTGAGAAACAATGCCAGCGTCGGATTCAATGCCCTTATTCTGTATTCTCATGAAAGTTTGACGGGGCTTGGTTCAAGCAGACTGCGCTTGGCGCGCCCGCGCAAGGATGTATCTGCGGCGCACGTTGGGCGAGGAAGTCCCACCCTCAGGGGAGGACAACGCGGCAATCAATCGTCTTGGAGTATGATCCACTTCAACTATCTTCGCTGTTGAGCCCTCTTTTTGCATAGCCAGGATGAAAGCTGCCTCCATCACTTCAAACTCCAACACATCAGAGACACAGCAAATATGTAGGGAAGTCGTTGGATTCGGCTAGAAAAAATTGGGTTCACTGGGAGAGCCTTCTTCTGTCACACATGCAGATTGAGAGGTTCAGAGTCACAAGCTCAATGTAACTGCCGCAAGATATCAAGTGAGAAGGAGGGGCACGTCTGGATAATTCAATGTTTTCCTCTTGTCCTGTTGTCACGTGTTTGTTCTGCTTCGAGGCTTTGGGCTCGGTGCCACTGGCCAGGCTTCTGGCCGACCGAAGCCTTCCTGCCCGCACGCGCACTGCGCTGACGCAGTGGTGCTTTCAACTTGGTAACGTCCTCGTGATTTCAACACAGTTCGCCGTGTGCTGATAAGGTCGTTCCAACATGTGCCCATTGCCCAGTTTGGCATGCTTGTGAGGCCCTCGGCGTTCTTCATCCTGCTGCAGTTGAGCTTGCGTGAACCCTCTGTGCGGTTGCTAGTTTCCATGGCCAAATTTCTTTATTAATGTTTTTCTTTGGTTTCCCCAGTCATTTTTGCAACTTTGGTGGGTGTTGAAGCAACCGCATAAATTCGGGGTGCGATCCTGGATCGCGTGTGCGCGTTTGGCATTTCAATGTTTCTTTCTGCCAGGCATTGGTGAGTTTAGTGTTTGGATATGCTAGGTCGGCCGTGGAACGAATAGGGGGAGACTGCTACTGCAACCCTGAGGCCTGGCAAGACAAAAGGGCAGCCGTGGAAGAAGAATGGCCCGAATACCGCACATCTTTGCTCATGGTGAGCAGGCCCGACTACCAGTTGGACCAGAAAGCAGGCGAGCGCCACGGCTCACACCGTCGTTGCTTGCCTCTCTTCGCCAACGATGCAGCTGGGCCACCGGCCCCACCAAAGAGGTTGCAGAGCCAGTCCTCGACCGGCTGGTCAAAGAGTGCAAAGCGGCGACGGTCGCGCGCTTGCCTGCGCAAGCCTTTGGCCTGGAGCCTGAAGAGAACGCAGGAGTGAACAGGGTAAAGGTAACATTGTCACCAATCAAAATACATATAGGACATATGAATCGATGTTTGGGTTCAATACCGACCATGAAGAGTTGAGGCCTAAACGAAGGTAAGTGGCACATTGATCAGCGCCTGCAGGGCCCACGTCCAAAGCAGAGATGGAGGCCACATACATGGTTCACGAGGTTGGAATTTCCTTGGTTGACTTCGGGTTCTGGTTTCGATTGTTCCCCACATTGACGCGTGGGGTTTTTGTCTTTAGTGTGGTATCCCCTCCTCCTTCTCCTCCTCCCGCCTCCCGCTTCCAACCAACTGCCACCAACCTATTGCCACCAACAAATTGTCATCGACCAATTGTCAACAACCAATTGCCACTCACGAATTGTCACCAACCAATTGCCACCCACCAATTGCCACCAACCATTTGTCACCAACCAACTGTCATCAACCAATTGTCATCAACCAATTTAATTGCTCCCCACCACTTGTCATCAACCAATTGTCATCAACTCACCAACCAAGTGTCATCAACCGCATTGTCACCAACCAACTGTCACCAACCAATTTCCACCAACCAAGTGTCACCAACCAATCACCAACCAATTGTCACCAACGCATTGTCGCCAACCAATTGTGATTTGCATGCTAATTGTCTTCTCCAGGGGGTGGGATGTATGCCCTGGCGCTGGCTGGCGCTGGCTGGCGCTGCTGGGTCTCCGCTGCTGTTCCGCTGTGATCTGCGCGCAGGGTTTTGTGGGCGTGGAAGATCCGCAATTTGGACAGTGGCGAAATGCAAAAACCGTGAGTTTTTCAAGGGTGTCGGATTTTCTTTAGTGATGGGCTCGTGTCAACACAAATGGCGCAAAATGTACCCCAAGATGAGCCAACAGAGGCCCCAAAGATAGATCCAAGATGGGTTAACATAGCCCCAAGATGGCCCAACGTAGGCCCAAGAGGGGCCCAACATAGGTTTAGAGGGCGCAACATAGGGCCAAGATGGGCCAACATGGGCCCAAGATGGGCCACCAACAACAACAACGACAACAACAACAACAACAACAACAACTGGTGGGTGGCAATTGGTTGGCGTGACAATTGATTGATGACAATTAGTTGAGGACCAGGTTTTTTGGAAAGAACAGGTCCTCAAAAATAACCCTGTCAGAAGGGCCGAGACCTACCAACCAGTCGCCCCCAACCAACTGCCACCAACCAATTGTCACCAACCATTTGTCACCAACCAATTGCCACCGCTAATTGTCACCAACCAATTGTCATCAACCAATTGCCGCCCACAATCAATTGCCACCCACCAATTGCTACCAACCAATTGCTACCAACTAATTGTCACCAACCAATTGTCACCAACCAATTGTGACCAACTAATTGTCGTCAACCAGTTGTCATCAACCAATTGCCACCCACCAATTGCCACCAACAAGCTGCCACCAACCAATTGCCACCAACCCATCCACCAGGAAATTGCCACCAACCAATTGCCACCAACAAACTTCCACCCGCAAACTGCCACCAACCAACTGCCACCAACCATTTGTCACCCACCAACCACTCCTGTGTCTGGTGAAGCTGTGAACATGTGGGGTTATCCGGCCCTATAGTTTTTCACACGGAAAGCTCTTGCTAAAAGACACTTGCTCCCTGGTGGTCACCAGGAGACAGGTTCTGGGCGCAGAAAAGGGTGTCGCAGGACAACGTTCAAGTCCAGGTCGGGCATTTCCCCAATGCCACTCCACCTGCTGCTTTGCAGCAAAAGGCAGAGGAGAAAGACCCGCGTCGGGTGGTGTGCGGCGCGAAGGAGTCGTTGTGCCGCGGGTCAGCTCAGGTGCCTACAAACTTTCACGCTTACGGCGATCAGCGACCCAACCGGGCTTCTCGCACCACAGACCTGCGTTGCCCCTAGGCGCTGATAAAGAGGAAGAGGGGCACACAGAGAGAGAGAGAGAGAGAGAGCGAGAGAGAGAGAGCGAGAGAGAGAGAGAGAGAGCGAGAGAGAGAGCGAGAGAGAGAGAGAGAGAGAGCGTAAGAATACTTTGTTTGCGCATGCACTTTTCAAAAGCGCGTCCCAGGTTGTCAGCGGAGGGGGGGAAGGTCTACGCAGTGTGTCGTGTGGCGCGGCCCCACACAAAGCGCCAGCGACGCCTGCGTGTGGACAGTCGTGGAGCCACCTGCAGGCTTGGCCTTGCCGGACATCTGCATAGTTGTTTCCAGGCAAGGCCTTGCCAACACTTTGTTGTCCGGAGGCGCGTGCGCGTCACGTGTGGGAATGTAGTAGGGAAACGGGTCGTTTTTTTGACGAAGCCTTTGAAACGGTAAACTACCGATAGTATTGAATATTGGCACTTGGATCGGCTTCAGAACCACAAAGCGTCATGGGCATAACAATCGGCCTTGCAAATCCCTTGTGGATTTTGTGGTGGAAAGCTGGAGTATGTGGAGGACTACAGGGCACGCTGCGCAGGTGGGGTATGGAAAGCTACAAACTGTTCTCGGGATCAGGCGGAGTGGCGCAAGATGGAGGTGACATCGTGTGAAGAACTCTGTCATCAAGCTGTTGGGTCGAGTCCGGAGGAGCAGGAGCGCCGCCAACTGATGCAGGTGAGGCTGGCGGCGGTGAGGGAGGCCTCGGGTTTGTAGTTGGACCCCTGTGCCTCTTCAACGTGTACGGCAAGAACTAACCCATGACGGACGAATACCAGTCCCTGATTGATGCTACCAATGGAGATTGCTCCGAGCATGTTGGTTCCAACGATCAAGGCGCCGGTGGACATCAAGGAGGCGATGATCGGGCGGGGCCGAGTCTCTATGCCGGGGGCTGTGATGGAGCCGCCGTTTGATGTCTGCTGAGGAAAGCGGGAGCTATGAGCTGGGAGGTGGCCACGACGGACGTGAAAACAGCCTTCTTGCTGGCGCTTGGATCGGAAGCTGGTGGTTGTGAAGCTGCCGAAGATACTGGTGGAGGCTGGCATTGTGGGCCCGAAGGAGGTGCAGCATGCACTTTGCGGGCTCGTTTTTCGCCGGCGGAACTGGGCTTCCTTTCCGGGGCGATCAACTCCTTGAACTGCGGGAGACCACCGCACCAGCGAAGGGCTTTGTTGGACGACTTCATCATCGCTGGAGACAAGGAGACGGTGAAGGGCGCTTTGGGTCGCATTGAGATGGAGTGGAAATGCAGTCCATGGGTCACTTGCGATGGCTACATGAAATTCGGTGGCTTCGAACTCAAGTGGAGCTCCGCGGAGGAGGACGAGGGGCTGTATTGGTCAGCAGGCCTACATCAAGGAGTTGCGGAGCCGCCGCGCCCTTCCCAATTGTTGTGGATGAGGTTCCAGAACCTGAACCGAGCTTAGAGTGGCGTGGATGGGAAGTCACCAAGTGTCCATCCAGGGTGATCAACTATTCGGAGGCTGCCTCGGTGGGTTCAATGGCAATCCCGCCGCCAAACAACCAGGCTGGGCTTCGCATCCTGGAGGCGCCTGACGGCCCTTGGAGAACGAGACATGCGCGTCTTCGAGCGCGTGCCCTGAGGAAGAGGGTCAAATGGGGGGCCTGGAGTGGTGCACATCCCTGGGCAGCATCTTGTTATTGATTTCTTCGCCAAGCCCATTGGGGGTGGCGTGGCAGCCATCCTAGGCATGAGGCCAGTTATGGAAGTGTTGGTGGCCAAGATTCCCGTGCTGGTAGGAGGGCTTGCATGTGTTTTGACTTGGCGGCCATCAGGGGCCGCCGGTAACACAGGGCATGGCGGTCGCGGGCATGGTAGCTAGTCTGCCACAAGCTGGAAAGTCGGCGCAGAACCCGCCCGCCCAGTGAAGGATTGCCTTGGAATTGGAGTCCTCCTCAAGTGATCCATAGGGGCGTTTAGAAGATGGATGGTGGGTGAGGCATCATGTCAAGCCGAGAAAACGGCCCTTCCATCCAATCCACCGGAAGATTCTGTTTGACAGCAGCGTGATTCAGAGCCGGCGACTCACGGTGCTTTGGTGCCATGGAGAGCAAATGATCCGCAATGCCATGACGGAGCCGTTGATGAGAGAACATCATCGTCGATGACCAGCTCACTCACTTCGGGACCGCCACCAATGCCGGGCATCGCAGAGCAGCCGAGGGAGGAGATTGAGGAATTGCTTCGAGAGGTGCGCTATGTAAGGAGGAGTCCAACGACGGCATCGGAGGAGAGTTCATCGAGTGGAGCCTCAACTACACTGGCAAAGGGGCGAGGCGCGATGAGCCGAGGCCTCAGATTGGGCTATGAGAATCGACTTCGAGGTCAAGGAGAACGAGGTGAACTTCGGTCAAGACCAACGGGGCGGCAGGGACATCCTGGCGAGGACCAGGGCTACGACCCTAGAGGCCTGACCTTTTGTGATGAGGACTGGCGACTCTTTCTGGAAGACATGGTGGGGAAGCCAAGAGGGAGGACTGGCGACGGTCTCTGGATGACATGGTGAACGAAGGATGGCGGGTGGTCAGCAACGGTTTAGCTCCCGCACGCCGAGAGGAGTATCGAGGCCCGGATTTGCCTGAGCTACCTGAAGGGGCACCACCGTATCCTCATGAAGTGCTCGTTTGTTTGGGCATTGGGACGCAAGCGCCGCTGCCTAGTAGCCAGCGAAGTGAGCCCTGGCAGCCACCTGAAAGATTTGGTATGACCTCAAGGGTCGTAGAGGACTCGAGCTTTGATGGGAGATTTGAGCATTTTGCAAGCCAACCGTAGAAGGAAAGGTCCGAATGGTGGGGTCAGTGAAACAGAGGTCCACACCACTTGCCCCTTCTTTTGGGAGAGTAAGTTCAAAACGCTGCCTTAACTGGCATGCACTTTGGCTCAAGAGCGAAAAGGCTCGCGCTTTCATAACCACACATTCAAACACCACCTCTGGCCGAAGACTTCCCACCGCGCGGCCTGTCGGAGAATTGTCAGGTTGAAGCTCCACCAGCAGCAGTTTTGGAGCAGGAGCCCGATCTGTTTTGTCAGCAGAAAAGAGAGGCAAAGGTCCATCGCACCTGGCTTGGGTCGATCTTGGGGATGTGGGAGATCCTCAGGGATGCCTGGGAGATGCCTGCGGGCAAAGAAGCACACTTCGCACACATCTTCAGGAGGAAGAGGCATTAGTTCCACCTCACTTGCTGAAAGCAGAGGACTGCCTGCTGTGGGCTTGTCGCAGGTGGTTGGAGTTGTTGGACTTTGATGTGGCTGACGAAGTCAGGAAATAATCAAGATGGGGCTTGAGTTGCTTGCATTCTTGCCTTGGATTTCTCTGGATTCCCATTTATTTTTTTTAGAAGAGGGGCTGCTTTCTTGGGGACTGACTTTCCAGTTGCATGGCCGTTGAATCAGAGCGCAATCCTGGCATTGCTGCATTGCTTCGGAGTTCGTTCCGAGCACGTTTGCAAGCTTGCAACCCGGAGGAGCAGGCAGCCGAGAAGAAGAAGGAACTGTGTTGTGAGCAATGGGAACCATAACTCTAGATTTAATCTAACAGAATTGATTGCTTTTCGGCCAGGGTCATGCTTGCAATTGCAGCTGACACACACCAACGCCCACCACTTCTTTTGAGGAGGAAGAATTGGCTGCGAAGAAGAAGGAGGCTCACTCTCGTGCATTCTTTTTGTAGAGATCCTGGTTTATTTAGGTTCCTTTCGACATCAATACCTACTCTTCCGCCCATCATTTAATTTACTGTATATGAATATGTTTATCTGTCAATCTTTGAGCCCACAAATGATGTCCTCTTCAGGAAGCAGAAGCGGCTGCCAAGAAGCAGGCAGATCGCATTTGCAATATTTTCATCTCAAGTTAGTTTCGCTGTATTGTTTGAACGCCACTTGTACGAAGGAGGAAGAGGCAGCCGCAAGAAAGAAGCAGGTTCGTTCCCCCAGATCCAGATTTTGATGCTTAGATTCATTCTCACTTTCGTGGAAAGGTGGAGGAGCAAGAAGCTCTAAGAAAGAAAGAGGCATTGAACAGTTGAATCCATATTTTTGATGTCAACATCTGGAGTGCCGATGATCGCATGATGGCCTTGGTAGGAGGAAGCTGCGGCAAGAAAGAAGCAGGCGAGTGTGGTTTCTTGGAGTGAGATGTTACAGTCGGCACTGCAGTGAACATTTAAGATACTGTATTGTCCTGCGTTGCTGCCATTTTCTCTTGGAGAGCCACCAAGAAACCCTTTACAACGAGGAGGAGGAGGAGGAAGCTGCAGCAAGAAAGCAGCAGGTGCACAGGGCTTTTGAAATTTAAGTGAACTTTGTTTACTAACCGGTCTTGCCACTCTGTAGAAAAGCAATCACAACTTCTGCGATGAGGAGGAGGAAGCCGCGGCAAGAAAGAAGCAGGCAGCGCACAGGGTG